TTAGGTTAGGTATTAAGTCTTGGTTTGGTGACATGGGCTTAGCTCAGGTGGTTCCATTTTGGGTTGCTTGTTTCTTTTTTTTAAGGACAGAAAAGCTGCGAAACAACATTGAAAGCAGTTATAATCGAGGCAGTGCCTGGCGTGAATGTTACTGTGACTATTGCTTTTACTCTTCTTTGCTGACTCTTTAAACTTCTAGGGTTCACATCACGTTGAGTTTAGAAAAAACATTAATAGAAGGTTGGTTAAATGCAAATGGGAAGCAGATTCCCTTTCTTGACCAGGTTTGTGTTATTCATGAAAAGGCTGATGGCTCCATATTTGTGAATCGTGTGTAGAACCATAAATTAAAATTCTTCTCAAGGTTGCCTTTTGTTGTCAGAACACTTAGCATAAGTCAGAAATGGTAGGCTTTCCCTGAAGAGAACAAAAAAGAACCCATTAAATATAATAAATCAGCACTTAAAAAAAAACTCTCACCACCAAGGCCATCTCAAATAGGCATATTCTTTTACATGACTGAAGTTGTTTTAAAAAAAAGAATCACTAACAAACAAAAACTTATTGCAGCAAACCCAAGTTGATTTGGATGTTCTTTCTTATCTGATAAATTTGAATGAAATTTAAATTTCAGACACCCTTGACCAAGAGTAATGTGGCATAGAGCCTGTTGGATAGTGTGGAGTAGAGGAGTAGAGATCAGAATATAAGATGTGATTAAGTACAGTCTTATATGGGAATTAAATTCTGTGCATGTGAAGACGATCAAGTATGATCGCAATGCTCTTGAAGATCCTCTAAAATTCCCCATAAAGTACAAATGTAGACGCACTGACTTTCTAGAAGTCTAACATGGGGCTTCCCCGGTGGCTCAGTGGTGGGGAATCCGCCTGCCAGTGCGGGAGACACGTGTTTGATCCCACATGGGGCAGAGCTGCCAAGCCTGTCGCCACATCTGCTGAGCCTGGGCGCGAGAGCCTGCGCTCCTCAACGGGAGGAGCCATCCCACAGAGATACCCATTCGGTAGAGCTGGAGAGGGGCCCCTGCTCCCTGCAGTTAGAGGGACGCCCCTGCGGCGGTGAGGACCCAGCACAGCCAGCAGTAAACACACAGAATTATCGTAAAAAAAGTTCAGCGTGGTCAGTTCTTCCTTTAGCATTGCTTTCCTTTTGTTGAATCACTGATGAGGCATTAGCTATATTCTTTTTTAATGTCCAAGGGTAGAATAATAGAACTGGAAGAATCAACTTTTCTAGTTCTTGAAACTGATTTTCATTATTTCTGTGAATAAAAATGCCTTTTAAAAAAAAAAAAAACAAAAACAGATAAATGAGTGGCCTTTGTTTTCCAAAGAAATCCTTGGGCAAGAAGGATGTTTGAGAGCCCAGTTTTTCTCCTAGAGGCCCATTCTCTTTTACATAGTGTGATATGTAGATACCTCTTCATAGCTGTGATTTCACCGTGTGCTGTCTGATTTCTTCAGTCTCTTTCCTTTTCTCTGATTCAGGCTCCTACCTCAACTCCTTACGTTTATTTTCTCCTCATCTTTGTTCCCATACTCGCTTGTATTGTACTTGCCCTGTGCTCTGTATTTTTCTTGTTCTACTCAGTGATAGTAGAATAATCTAATTCAAATCTGATTATGTGAAGTGTGGTAGCATAAGACCTGGTTTAGGTTTAGGTTAAGTTAACTTTGTGACCGAGAAAGGCATTTCACATCTCCAAGCCTCCATTTCCTTCGTTATGAAAAGAAGGTAATACAGTAAAGGAATTTGTTGTGATCAAGGAGTGGCCAGATGGTGATGGCCTCTTGGGTAAATAAGAATTTAACAATTCTATTATTTGTAGATGGTGCCTTCTGGAAAAACTTCTCTGAGGAAACTGAGTGAGAGTTGGTGCTCTGAGAAATGCAGGATAGGCAGGCCAGTACTTCTAAGATCGTCAGTGATAACTTAAAAAAAATACTTATTTGGCTGAACAGGGTCTTGGTTGCAGCCCGCAGGGGCTTTGATCTGAATTCACTGTGGCATGTGGGATCTTTTTCGTTGCAGCCTGCAAATTATTTGTTGTGGCATTTGGGATCTAGTTCCCCAATCAGGGATCGATCTTGGGCCCCCTGTAATGGGAGCTTGGAGTCTAATCCACTGAACCACCAAGGAAGTCCCTCAATAACTACTTTGAAATTTCTCCTCATTTCTATTCAGCTACACTCTCTTTTTTTATAAGCTCTATAATCACCCTGATTATATCCTCTCTCTTGATTTGAGGTGAAGAAATATGGGTTTACTCAATATATACAAAACATCTTTTATTGGACACCAGAACTTTTTGACCTAACAGTTGTTAAAGAAATAGTGGAAGCAGCTTTTCTGTTTTGACTGCAAAAGCACAGTAGAAATTCTTGTTCTGAATGATCAAGAAATGTAGAGAACTTACTGAAGGTATTGGTTTATTTCTAGGTAGCATGTTAAATATGTATCCATTTTTTAAAGCATTTATAGATATATTACTGAAGAAATAATAGTCACATGACCTCGTATGGGGTTAGTAGTAAAATTCCAGGTAGCCTGGTCTCCCCGAAAAATAATCATAAGTTTTGTGTGTGTCTTAAAAAGAAGGTTAGGAAATTAAGAAGGTAAAAGTCAAAAGTTTTGATTAAGTAAAATCTGTTTAAAGTCACATTTATAAATAATGTGGTTAGTTGGACTTACTCTGGAAATCGATAGATTGATCTTTTCTTTCTGGGACTCACAAACCTCAGCAAGTATCGTGCAGCAGCGATCTGCGAGAGGTGGTTCTCATCCCTGGCTGCTGCTGTTGACCAGTCGTGCTTGTGACCTACTTTTAAGGGGCTGATAAGGAAGGAGTCCTAGTATGTATATTTAAAGTTACATTTAAAAAAGCCTTCCAGCGTTTCCATCACTTCATTGTTGTTTCCATGGAAGCGGAACCACTATCAGCAGCAGGAGTCCATTTCAACTGCTCGTTTCCGGTTCTTTTTTCTCTGTTACTATGGTGACTGCCTAGAAAGCGACAGAAATACCAAAAGTTTAAAAAGCAGCAATTTGATTACAAAATAGGGTTTTACCTTTAGCTTTAAATAGGTGTTTTATAGTCTTGACGTTTTTGAATTTCACATTACTTTGTGAGACAAATTAATTTTTTTTTCTTTTGGAAAAGTAATATTTTGAAGTTTTATTAGAGGTTAATTACACTGAAGGCTTCCCAGGTGGCACAGTGGTAAAGAATCCTCCTGCCAATGCAGGAGACACAGGAGGTTCAATCCCTGGGTCGGGAAGATCCCCCTGGAGGAGGAAATAGCAACCCACTCCAGTATTCTTGCCTGGGAAATCCCATGGACAGAGGAGCCTGGTGGGCCAAAGTCCATGGGGTCACAAAGAGTTGGACATGATTGAGAGACTGAACAACCATAAAGGAGAGAAGAGGAACTGTAAGGTAAAGGCTGTGGAAGGAAGGATATTTAAGCAAAATTGCAGTCCCAGCTTTGTTGCAGTTTTTCTTTGAGGTCTGTCTTCATTCAGGGTTCTTTGGTTTACATGTGATACAATCCACTACCTTAGGATTGTAGGTCCAGCTGAAATCAAAGGCCCCAGTCACAGTAGAGTTTCTCTTTTTGTCTCTCATGTTTATGTCTGTCAAGTTCCTTCTTGTTGTTTTTGTTTTTCCCTTTGACAGAAACTATGGCTATTGGCAGTCCCACTCATCTTATTTCCAGCATCGGTTACACAGAAGATTGGCCCAGTTTGTGTTGGGTCAGCTCCTCCCTTCTTCGGCTGTGGCCAGGAGGGTGGGGTTCTGATTTGCTCTGCTGTAACAGGGAGGCTCACCCTTGGCTAACAAGTAGTGATTGGAGGGGCTGAGATCTGAAATAAGGGAGAAGCTTTCATTCAAACCATGTTCAGGGTTGGTGAACACAAGCTGGAATCAATCTCAGGAAGAGGTTCAGAGTTGAAATGACTTATCGGACACATGACTAATGAGAAGCAGGGCCAGAATTCAAATAACCAGGGTTTCTGGGAGGTAATCTGGAGTACTTTCCACTGTGTGATATTACATTTTGGTTAACAGCTTCATTCAGAAGGTGCATAAGGTGAATTATAAAAACAGTACTGTGTATTATTAAGTGCTTTGATAAAAATGTCATGCACAGTATTGAATAGTATTTATGAAAGGAACCTTAGACATCGTATAGTACAGTGGTGTCAAACTTTTTGACTTTCAGCCCTAGAATCCTTTCTTCAGATGAAATGTTATAGTCGAGTATATAAAATGGATAAAAGCGTCAGATCATCCTGCTCTGGAGAGGAGAGATCCAGGAATGGACCGCCTTCTCTTTGAGATCCTGAGTTCATTAGAAGCCGCTTTGAATACCCTTCCCTTAGGGAAACTGAGAGCCAGACAGGGTAGTGACCCTATTTCAATTTCAGATAATTATATGTTATAAGAAATGAAGTTACATTCTTGTGTTCAGTTGTAAGGTGGGTGACAATTTGTTATTAATGAATTAACCATGACACTTGCAAATATTAGAGTTGCCCTGAATACTTTTATTCTCCAGTTTGGTGGTACTTTCACAGCATCTCACATCCATGTCACAGCTCTTACTAAACATCTCTTCCGTTTGGTGCTATTTGTTGGGTTGGACAACTGTATACTGTCTGGACTAGCCTAATCTTTTGTCCACAGAGCTTTTTATATCACATCCTTTATATATTGATTCCTCTTATACAGTACATCAAGTTCTCTATGTATATTTAAATATGGGAATTTCAGAATTTAGATAAATGCAACTTATCTGGGTAATATTTAGACCTTGCTGATATTAGTAGCTTTGATGTCTGTTCCAATTTTGATCTCTCTCGTCTTTTCAATTAGAGATGTGAACAGGTGGTAAATTGGGTAAAAGGAAGTTAATCTTCAGTTTGCGTGAAAGAAAGTTTGCTTTTCACATGTCCTAACTTTTGTTTTCTCCTTTTAGGAGAGTCAAGTCCCACCCGGCGAGAAGCTGTGAAGAGAAGAACTGCAGAATATCTCATGCGAGCAGAGAGTCTCTCTAGCCTTTGTGCGAAACCTCAACTTGATGATGTGTCTCAGGTATGTCTTATGTTTCATTTTGCATTTCCTTTTAGCCATTTTTGCTGATTTTTTTTTCCCCCTCTTCATTTTCTTTCTAACTAGGATGTTTGAGAATTTTGGTCTTTGGAATTTTATCAATGATTTTCTTTCTTTTTTTGTTTTTGTTTTTTAACAAATTTATTGGAAGAATTTTGATACAGTCAGTTATTATTTTTTTAAAATACATCTGAGGTTAAAATATACACGTGAATGTCTTCAGTTAGAAAAAAGCAAAATATACATTATGAGTTGTTGTGTTGTTCTTAGGCAAATCATAATTGCTCACTCTGGTACATTCAAACCAAATTGCAACATAGTCTTTGACATTTCAACCTAGCCTTGTATTCAGACGTTTATTTAGAATTGTTTTGATGGCATCCTCTTTACCAAAGAAATCAAACCCAGATCAAACTTGGCCATATGTTTAGAAACCATTAAAGACAGAGAGATAAGTGTTGTAGGGGTGTTTGAAATATACAAGAAAGGATTTGACAATTTTTCATTCACAGTATTTCTGACACAGAAGACCCATTTTATTTATTGATGAGACACACAAATGTTGGGGCAAAATATCCCTTGGGCAGATATATCACTAAATTTGCTGCTCTTAGAGGAAGAAATAAGACTACTTGGCAAGCTCTTGACAGGATACGGCAACTTTATTGAGCCTAATTGATGTGTGATACATGATACAAAAAATTCAAATATTAAAATTCAGAATAAAGCTTTTTTTTTCCGCCAGCAAAAGAGAAGTTTTACATTGGCAGCAGCAATGAAAAGAGGTGGAAAATAAGTAAAACCCAAAGAAACAAAGAGAGGCTCTATGAAAATTTAGTATTTAGAGGGGAAAAAGAGAAGATAAAAACTATTTTAGGAATATTAGATCACTTACTGAATACATGTAGTGCTGCTTTTATAGAAGCACCTTCAAGATATACCGTTGAAAGAGTTTTGGATGAAAATATACCTGGGATAAATGAAATAGAATGTTATACACAGGCCCTTAAAGTACTGGATAATAAGAATATGGTGATTTCCCCAGCCCAGGTTGGGTGCATGAGACAAGTGCTCGGGCCTGGTGCACTGGGAAGACCCAGAGGGATCGGGTGGAGAGGGAGGTGGGAGGGGGGACTGGGATGGGGAATACATGTAAATCCATGGCTAATTCATTTCAATGTATGACAAAAACCACTGCAATGATGTAAAGTAATTAGCCTCCAACTAATAAAAAAAAATGAAAAAAAAAAGAATATGGTGATTTCCTATATTAAAAATTGGGCTACACAAGATATAAAAATTCAAGTGATACACGTCCCACAGTCCAAATTCTACCAAGTTACTGTCCAACCCAGCATGCAAAATGGAAAACGTCTCTATATTCCCACTATTCCTATATTAAAATGAAGGAGCAGCTTACAAGGTTACTTGAGAAAAAAAAGGCCAAAGTGAATATAAAGTCACATATTTGTGCAAAAATGCCACAGAAAAACTGAGATGTCTTCTGTAATAAACAGTAAATTACTGGTTTTACCTTACTTGTATATCTACTGCTGTCTACAACGTTTACTCACTGGTTCATTTACTGAGCATGGAAGTGTAAATTTGTGCTAAATTTAGTGACAGTAGAATACATGAGACATTCTTTTTTCCACCATGTCAAAATTACACATGTAAAATTCTCAGAGCCATGGGAAAATTCAGAAGAGTTCAAAGTAAGATATTAACTTTAAGCATGCTGCTAAGTCATTTCAGTAGTGTCCCACTCTGTGTGACCCGGTAGATGGCAGCCCATCAGTCTCCCCCGTTCCTGGGATTCTCCAGGCAAGAACACTGGAGTGGGTTAAGTTTAAGCATAAACTAATACTAATTAGGAAATCTGTTTCTTACTTTTGAAGAAGTGTCTATAAAATGTTCAGTTCAGTTCAGTTCCGTCGCTCAGTCGTGTACGACTCTTTGCGACCCCATGGACTGCAGCACACCAGGCCTCCCTGACCATCACCGGCTCCTGGAGTTTATTCAAACTCAGGTCCATTGGGTCCATGATGCCATCCAACCATCTCATCCTCTGTCGTCCCCTTCTCCTCCTGCCTTCAGTCTTTCCCAGCATCAGGGTCTTTTCAAGTGAGTCAGTTCTTTCTATCAGGTGGCCAAAGTATTGGAGTTTCAGCTTTAATATCAGTCCTTCCAATGGACACTTGGGACTGATTTCCTTTAGGATGGACTGGTTGGATCTCCTTGCAGTCCAAGGGACTCTCAAGAGTCTTCTCCAACACCACACTTCAAAAGCATCCATTCTTTGGTGCTCAGCTTTCTTTATAGTCTAACTCTCACATCCATACATGACTCCTGGAAAAACCATAGCCTTGACTAGATGGACCTTTGTTGGCAAAGTAATGTCTTTGCTTTTTAATATGCTGTCTGGGTTGGTCTAGGGGCTTCCCTGGTGGCTCAGAGGTTAAAGCGTCCACCTGCAATGCAGGAGACCTGGGTTCGATCCCTGGGTCGGGAAGAGCCCCTGGAGGAGGAAATGGCAACCCACTCCAGTATTCTTGCCTAGAGAATCCCATGGATGGAGGAGTCTGGTGGGCTACAGTCCATGGGGTCACAAAGAGTCGGACACGACTGAGCGACTTCACTTTCTTCACTTTCTAGGTTGGTCATAACTTTGCTTCCAAGGAGTAAGCGTCTTTTAATTTCATAGCTGCAGTCACCATCTGCAGTGATTTTGGAGCCCCCCAAAATAAAGTCTGTCACTGTTTCCACTGTTTCACCATCTATTTGCCATGAAGTGATGGGACCAGATGCCATGATCTGAATGTTAAGCTTTAAGCTAATCTTTTCACTCTTCTCTTTCATTTTCATCAAGAGGCTCTTTAGTTCTTCTTCACTTTCTGCCATAGGGTGATATAACCTGCATATCTGAGGGTATTGATTTTTCTCCTAGCAATCTATAAAATGTAAATCAAGTCATATATATCTCTCTCATGCAGTGCAGAATTATTTGTACTTCTTAGAAGACAACTTCCTACCATCTAAGTTAACATCTCTTGGCCAGGAGTTCAGTTTCTCTTCACTCACGCGGGTACTGACAATGTTGAGTCAGACCCCTTTAAAAAGCAGCTTACTCTGTGAGTGTCAGGAAAACTTTTTTACTTTTTTTTTTTAAACAAAAAGTTCTTAAAAGTGCTTAAAGGAGCTCTGATTGCTCATTTTGGCCTGCACATTGTTAGAAGGTGATAAGCATAGGAGTGGGATACAAAGAAGGAAATGAGTCTAAACAAGGTATATATAGCAATTATTCCTCTTTATCAGTTTTGTCATTTTGATTGTTCATGATTTTGTTTTGCTGTTTTTGTTTACTCACTAAGTCATGTCCGAATCTTGTGACCCCATGGAGCCTGCTAGTCTCCTCTGTCCATAGGAGTTCCCTGACAAGAATACTGGAGTGGGTTGCCATTTCCTTTTCCATCAATGATTTTTTTAAAAGTTATTGATGGGGAGAAAAGCATTAAAGCAAACCATCAAAGGTGAAATAAGATGAGACTCACCTTCTCCTTTTTTTTGGCCCTTTGTTCTTTGTTCTGTGCTTTGCTTAGTTGCTCAGTCGTGTCTGACTCTCTGCGACCCCATGGGCTGTAGCCCACCAGGCTCCTGTCTATGGGGATTCTCCTGGCGGGAATTCCATCCCTAATATCGCTGTGTGTGGAATGACAGTAATTTACACTTTATATTTTATTTGAAATTTTAAATTATGATTCTTATAGCATTCACATACAGTTTTATTGATTCATGCTAAAACTAATAATTTAAGCCTAAGTCCTACAAGTGGCAGCTATAGATCACCTGGAATTATAAAGGCATAATTCTAACAGGAATACTTGGGTTATTTGGGGCTACCCCTAGTCTTATTAAGAAAGCAGGTGAGTGCTTAAAATGTTAGAAGCATTGTGGTTTATCATTATTGTTTTTATGTTACATCTATCTGGATTTGGCATATTTATGGAAGAAATTTTTTTTTAAATTAAACTAAGGTTTTATTTTTATGATGCAATTTAAGAGTTACATCTTCTAGAGCGAAAGTGTTTCTTAATGTTTCTAAGGCAGGCTTGTCTGCGTCTCAGATCTGTCCCTTGAAGCCATGGAAGATTGGACAAGATACTTAACTCTATCTCTTCCCTTCAGTTTCTACATGTGAATAATGAGGATAATAGTAATTTCCTGCTAGGTTGTTGTTAGGATTAAATGGGTTAAAAAAGAAATCACGCATGTATGTGGATGCATGCACACACTCACATATAAACAGTCAAGTGCCTACCTTGTAAATAGACTGGCTGATAGGCCAAGCTTTTAAGACTAGCTTAATAAGCATTAACCTGTTTTTCATCTCACCTCATATATTTGCTTTTATACCTTTTTGTACATTTATAAATGCTTTTTATACTTTTTGAAAATTATAAAAGATTTCAATTTCTAGTTTAGAAACAGACTGTAATCTTGATTCATCAGACCACTAGAAATTTTTCCGCTGCTTTTCTGAGTCCCTTTCATTTTCTTTGTGACCTTTTAAAATGTACAGTTATCAGAACTATACTTCTTAGTGTAAGAATTCCTGTTGTTAAGCAGTTGACCATTCTTTTTAGGACAAATTATATTACAGTTTGGAAGTAATACACTTTTGTTACTTCTTCTAACATAATAAATGTGTTTAAATAATTTACCTGTTGGATCATTTTCAGATTGTTAATGGTTATAACCGTTCTGTTTGCTAATCTTTTTCTGTTTTCTGTCATTGTTGTTTCAGTTATATTATTTCTTTTACTATTATTATTTCTTTACTGTTGAATTATTCTTTCTAATTTTAAAATTAAAAAGTGTTTTTATTTAATGAGGTATAATTGACTTAACGATAGTATATTTGTTTTAGGTGTACAGCATAGTGATTCAATATATTTATATATTACAAAACATGCATCATATTA